CATTAGAAATCTGAAGTAAAATAATTAATTTTTTGTATAAAAATGTAAAATAAAATGGAAAATTATTATTTTATTTATGTTTTATCAAAAAAAGGTTTTTTATATAATTAATTAAAAAATAAATATAGTTTTATAAATATTAATCACTTTAATATAATGAATTATACCATTCAACTTTTAAAATTGTCACATGTTTTTGCTATTTGCTATTACTTGAATAATAGTTAACTTTTCTTACAATTTAAGAAAATGTTGATTAATTTAGCTTTTTGATATATAAAAATAGTTGCTTTATTTTTAAATGCATTCTGGAGTAATTCTTTCTTAGATTTCTATTTTTAATTGGTAATGTATATGTAGTATAAAATACTATTTTTGGTTATTTTTTTGTGAAATATTTTGTAGATTTACCAAAATTTATTTCATATTATTAGAAATTATTTTTGTTTATGTGTATGTATTTGTAAATATTTTACATATAAATATGCTTGTATAAGGTATTTTTCAGAAACTTTTTAAATTTGATCGATTTATAAGAAAAAACTGAAAAACTACAGTTTTTAAGGAGCAACTTNAAAGTGTATATAATATGATAATAATTCTTTCAAACTGTTTATAATGAAATAAACTTTGTTATAATTAGTAATGAAATAAATCTGTAATACACTACCAAGTGTGCATTTGTAAACCAAAATATTATTTTATTAAAAATGACATTTGCATTGATACCAAAACTGTATATAATGAAAATTCTTGACACCACTATTGCTGCTTTTGATGTCAGAACTATTACTTGATGTCAGCTATCATGACTTCCTATAACAAAATAATAATGAATGTAAAATGTAGTCATGATGGTTTCATACTGTATTGTGTTTCATGTACATCTAAGATAAAATGGTAATAATTTGAAACCGACTGATATATGCATGCTTGACTGCAGNTATCTAAATAAATAGATGTTATATGTTTTTATCAAAGCAAGAATTGGCATTTAGAGGGCATATGGAATATATTGGATCTAATAACGGAGGTAATTATAATGAACTTGTTTATTAAGTACGTCAGATAAATAATCTATTAAAAATACTTTTAAAGAAAGAATTAACTGATTGCCCCTGGATGTCGGCTTCTTATAGAAACACAACTTCCCTATCATCAAATGTCACGGCACGCCCCTGAGGCATTGGCCTTTCTCTTTTAATAATGTTTTCTTTTTCATTATATGATCTTGAGCCAAAACTTTTTTAAAATAAATTTTCAATATCGCAATTACNAAGAATCGACGATTTTTCGTGTCTTTTGCCAGCTAAATTGTCAAAGACATTCTTATTCCACACACTAATTTTACTCTGTAAATGCATTTTTATGCATTTACAGAGCCATGTTATCGTGAAAATATCGAACAAATTTTTTTATTGGAGCGTTTATATTTAACTTAAGCATTAATCGTTCTCTTTTAATAATGTTTTTTTTTTCATTATATGATTTCGAGCCAAAACTTTTTTTAAATAAATTTTCAATATCGCAATTACATTCCGAATCGCTAGCCACGATATAAGGGCTAAAATTAAAAATAAAATTATAAAAACTTACTTCGTGAAATAAAATGTGTGGTGGATATACATACCTGGCACAAAACCTTCTTCAATTGTATGAATATACTTTTAAAGAAAATTATAATTAATTAAACAGTTTAAATCTTAACCACTTAGTCAAATAGCTTCCTACGAGTGGAATCAGAGAAGGTCCTGCTAGGTGTGCGGTGTGTACTGTACAGTACATGAAAGCAGGCTGCCAAATTTCGAGGGTGCCGATACCTTCGGGATTTGGCAATGTGAAATGCTTCTTTTGTCGCATCACTAATATACCTCAAAAGACGCGACAGGGTTCTTGTAAATTTTAAACGTTTCTCATCATAGCTGTAAAAGTCTGAATGTTAAACTTAATAGATTTCCGTCTTTTGTTTTCTAACTAATTCGTTTTAGGACCAAGTGTTGTCCGCGGAAATTTCCAAAATTTACAACTTTTCGGTCACTTTCGTCGAAATAAAAAAATGTCTGTCTTTATAAATATTACATCTTATACAGTATTTCGAAGAAATCAGTTTCCACTGTTCTCGGCTATAGATTGATTCGGTTAAGCTTTTGTTTAAGTAATATTCCGGCTCTTTCATCAGGGTATTGTTTATGTCCTCACTTTCCTAATCGTTTAATTATTAAACTACTACTTAAGTAGAAATAAGTCGAAACCAGTTACTTTGTACTCGAATATTTGTAGTTTCGAAAAAATATGGAAAGACAAATTTTTATTACAAACAGATACATAAATCGTAAATTTAAGGAAAATAAATTCTAGAGCCTTTTCTGTACCTGGTTCATCTCTCTTATTCATTAAATTTAGTTGTAAATGACGCTGTCGAAGATACAGTTAATTTTTTAACATTATACAAAAATTGTTCACGTTTTTTTCTACATCCCCTTAAAGATGGGATGTACGAAATCGTAATATCACCGGTTTAACATCGAAATCCGTTAGTAATATAAAATCGGATAGCGGAATAAATATAACAAATATTTTAATGGATTTTTAAACACCTGTCAACTATACAGAACTATCGTAAAAACATACCAGTAAATTCTTATCGGTTGGGTTAAGTTATAAATCTACTCGTTATTCACGTAATCGAAATATCTAGTGGGCAGGCGGCTAACAGCCCAGAACCGGTCCTTGA